ATCCTTGCAGTGGAAAGTGAAGGAATGGCAGAGATAATAAATGAGTACTTTAACTCATTTTTCGCAGAGTTTGTTGACATTGAGAATGTCGAATCACCAGAACAGTAAGTAGAGGTTATAAAAACAGAAATGCTGCTGAACTGTTACTCAAATTTAAGTTGGATAATACACTGGGTTCTGAGGATTTGTATTCAAGGATCCCGAGGGAACCAAGGAAAAAATAGCACCAGTTCTGACTTTAATTTTCCAATTTTTTGGGGGGAGGGAAGGGAAACTAGACCAGAAAACTGGAGGATGACAAACATGATCTTCAAAAAAAGACAGGTAAGTCACAAAATGCCAGTTAACTTTACTTCAGTTTCTGGTAAACTACTTGAGTATGACATTGGGTGAAATAAAAGACTCATGTCTCGTGGACTCGATTGTGGTTTCAAGCCCCACATTCTGAGTTCATCATCAATAGGCACTAATTCCAGTGTACTATTGATGGTATATGGTAAGTCACAGAATATTAATAGCACGTTTGTTATAGGGCCTTTCAGGGTGGACATTTCAAAGTGTTTCACGTGATTTACTGTAAAGGTTAATGACTACAGTTGAATGTGAACAAGACTGAGGCCCTCCTGATTGTCTCGCGCCAGTGCCTCTGCACCTCAGGCTCTGGCAGCATCAACTTCCACGGTTGCACACCAACTCACCAGCCAGTCAGGAAATTAGGTGTCTTGTTTGACCCTCAACTGTCTTTTCTTACCCACATCCAAGCCATGATGCTCTCTGCCTTCCCTCACCTCCGTAACATTGCCCGACTTCGCCACTACCTCACCCCTCAGGCCGCCGAAACTCTTGTTCATGCCTTCACCTCCAGGCTCGACTGCAAACCCCCTGCTTGTCGGCCTTCCCAACTCCTCCCTCCACAGGCTGAAGATAATCCAGAACTCTGCAGCCCGTGTCCTCTCCCGCACCAAACTCTGTGACCCTATTTCCCCCACTCTCGCCCGACTATTGGCTCCCTATCCTTCAGAGGATCCAGTTCAAAATCCTGGTCCTCACCTATAAAGCCCTCAATGGCCTCACCTCACCCTACCTCTGCAACCACCTAAACCCTACCAACCTGCCCACTCCCTCCTCTCAGCCGGCTCTGTCCTGCTCCACGTCCCCCGACCCACCCACTCCACCATTGGCAGGAGAGCCTTCAGCCACTCTGCCCCCAACCTCTGGAACTCCATCCCCCAATCACTCCCCCTCACCCCCTCCTTAGCCTCCTTCAAGTCCCACCTCAAAACCCTCCTCTTCGACCATGCCATTGGTCATCCCCCCCCCCCCCCCCCCCGACCCCAGCTCGGGTCTGAAACGCTGTACACTGTCCCGCACCTTGGGACGTCCTCCTAACGTGAAAGGCGCTATACAAATGTAATCTTGTTGTTTATGTGCTGTGAGATCTTTAATGTCCACCTGAACAGACAGGCAGGATCTCAATTTAAGTCTTATCCGGCAACTCCAAACAATGAAGTATAGACTTGGGAGTGTAAATTTGGACGATATGAGTTCAAAGTCCTGGTATGGGGCTTGAACCCACAGTCAGAGACTCAGAGGCAAGAGTTCAACCAACCAAACCATACTGATAAATGGAGCTTCTTCCAGAATGAATGAGAGATGTCAAAGGTGACGGAAGGTGGAGGCTGGGGGGAGGGTGTGGCTAAGGCAGCAGAGCAGATCCTCTTCATTTTGGACCTGAGGAACTTCATCTTTTCATTGAAATGGTAAGGTCCCAACTGCACATTCTGGTTAAGTTTAATTGTACTTGAAATAGAGAAGCCAGGGAGAGGCAATATACACATTGTCAACAAATCAAAGATAGAATTAGATACATATTTGGCAAAGAAATCAATTGAGGTATACAATATTATAATTTCATTTTATTGACAACAACAAATTACGATCCACATGTACTGTGGTCATCCTTTCCAGTCCAGGTTGTACAAATATTTTGAAAGTAAGCAATTTCAGGTTTGCAGGATTCTTTAGTTTCAACTCTGATCCAAATATTGTGTTGCGATTGTAGTTGTGGTTGGCTTGATTTTTGGGGGTTTTGGATAGATTGTGTGACTTGTTTAGTCTGAGATCTTATTGAGGATCTGGTATCTGAAAGAGGGATTCAATTTTACTTATTTGGTATTATTAACATAAATGTCAAAACATATCAGCAATTCAGACAGTTGATCAATATAGTGGATCGGTGTATGAGTTGTATCCTGACACTGCTTCAGTTTATCTTACAAAGCACTGCATGATTTTTTGAATAATATACTAATTCTGAACGAATTCTGCATACCCCTCATGCCCTCCGTTCCACCATTGGTGCTTGCGCTTTCAGCCACTAACCACCAAAATACTACTTTCAAGCGCTTTGCCCCTTCCTTCAGGTCGTGCCTGAAGACCTTCCTATTCGACCGTGCCTACGGTCACCTCCCTCTCTCCCCAGCTCAGCGTCATGCTCCACCACTTCAAGCGCTCTGGGAGCCGACGTGGTGTGAGGGACACTATATAAGTGCAAGTTGTAATGTACAGAAGAGATCACTGCTAAAATTTTGAAAACGGATCTTCATTTTTTTTCCTCAGCATTTCAATAGTTTTTACTGCAGGACAGTGTGAAATACTTATACCCTTTCACACCAAATTTTTGTGGTACATATCTGTTCTACATCCATTTATCACAGCCACCTGGTCCACTATGGAATTTTGATCTGTGTATGAGATTAAACTAATGAACCTTGTTTGGACATTATTTTATCCCAATGAAACCAAAGAGTATTTTGAGCATAAAACAGTATAATTTATCTCTGTACGAAGCAGTCAAAATAACAATGATAGATTAGGTAGAATTTATTATATATTGCAAATGAATAATTCATACTTCAGTGTTAATTTATAGGATAGTAAATCTTTGTGGTAACAGTGTTGCAATCAAGCATGTGACATGAAACTATAAAATTACAGGGTAGCTGGTATAAAGGAGAGTGTTATTTCCCTGGAGGTGATCTACATAGAAGTCCAGGGTAGACATGAAATGTTTCAGAATTTTTTCATGGCCATTAGCAGTTGAGATTTCATTACCACCTTCTGTAATTCCTACCTAAAATTCCTCTTTCTCACATCCTCTTCATCTTTGTGGAGTCCTGTAGCTCAGTGGTTAGAGCACTCGCTTTGCAAGCGAGAAACCTGAGTTCAATTCCAGGCAGAGGGCGAAACCTTGGGCAAGTTTCCTTACTCCACACACCTAATAATAATCGCTCCAAAAACCAAAACCAATAATAAATTGGTCATTTTCAATCTACGACTGTTTGTGGGACATTGCTGTGCGCAATTGGCTGCCGCGTTCGCCCACAAATATACAGTCAATTCACTTTACAATGTGTTCTGTGAAGCGCTTTGGGACGTCCTCCCGACGTGAAAAGCGCTATATCAAATGCAAGGATTATTATTATTATTATCTGTCTTCAAAGACCGACCTCTTCTGCTCTGCCTTTGGTCACCTTCCCCCATTGCCCGTCTGCTACCCGCTTTGAGTATGAAAGGTACTGAATAAATTCAAGTGATTATTGTCTTGGGAGTTTGCTGGCACAGATTATGCTGCATTTGCATAAATGAGTTACAACATTTCAAAGAGAATAATTCCATGATGTTTTAACCTAATAAGGTGCCATATCAAATGCATGTATTATTTATGATAATTTCTAGCCAATTGGTCAATAATAATAATAAATACAATGTGTGACCCGGTATTATGCTTCGTAAATTGTGTCAAGAAGCAGTCATTTTTCAAATTATTTGTAAATAATAGAATTATATCGTACAGAAGGAGGCCATTCGGCCCATTGTGTCTGTGCTGGATCTTTGAAAAAAAACTATCAAAATCAATCCCACTCCCCTGCTCTCTCCCCATAGCCCTGCAAACTTGTCCTCCCCAAATAATTATCTACTTCTCTCTTAAAAGTTGTTATTGAATCGGCTTCCACCATCAGTGTCCTCGGGTTACCAATTCACCCGCCAATGGAAATAGTTTCTCCTTGTTCACCCTATCGAATCCCCTCATAATTTTGAAAACTTCTATTAAGTGTCCTTTTAATCTTCTCTGCTCCAAGGAGCTTCTCTCGCCTCTCCTGATAACTGAAGTCCTTCATTCCTGGTACCATCCCGGTAAATCTCCTTTGCATCCTCTCCAATGCCTTGACATCATTCCTAAAGTGTAGTGCCCAGAACTGAACACAGTCTCTCGCTGAGGCCTCACCAGTGTTTTATAAAGGTTCATCATAACTTCCTGACTTCTGTATTCTATGCCCCTATTCATAAAGTCTAGTATCCCATATGCTTTTTTAACTACTTTATCTGCCTGTCCTGCCACCTTCAAAGATTTACTCATATGAACCCCCAGGTCTCTCTGTGCCTTCAGCCCCGTTAAGATTCTACCATCAACTTATATGGCCTCTCCTCATTCTTCATCCTATAATGCATCACTTAACATTTCTCCACGTTAAACTTCATCTGCCGCGTGTCTGCCCACTTTACTAGTCTGTCTATGTCTTCTTGCAGTCTGCTACTATCCTCCTCATTGCCTACCACTTTTCCTAACTTAGTATCATCTGCAAACTTGGAAATTGTACTTCTGTATCCATGCTGCCACTGTCCCTTTAATACCGTGGGCTTCTATTTTGCTTATTTTGCTTGATATTCAAATCAAATTGAATATTTATTAAAATCTAATGTGAAAAATGAGTTCAGATCAGCAATCTACAAACAATTCATTCCCAGTTTTCTGAGCCATATGTTGCTGTATTTTAGATAAAATTCAGTTCTGAATGTTAATGTTTGGGTTTTTTTTTCATACCACCAGAGGGATTTTTTTTAATTATGAGATGCACTCAAGGAAATATAACATTGCTGTAACCGGTTTGTGATCTTTTGCTATATTTTCTCTAAAACTTTTATAATACAAATTGCAGAGCACAACCTTGTAAAGAAAACTTGTACAAAGAATTTTGTGTGCTTGTTCTATGGAATGATTTGGAAGCACAGCTGAAGAAGGCAACCTGCTGACTTTTCTTTGAATGCACAGGACTAAAGAGAATCGCACCAAAGAGAATAGAAATTCTGTTCTTGCTGCACATCTTCAGTTTTCATGGTAAGAAGATTCTATGATAAAATGGTTAAATGTTTTCCGCCAAACTGTTAGTTTGAGCTACCAATGAGCATCATTTGAACACTGTATGAACTGAGTGAGCCTTAGAAAATGAATGTAAGAGCCTTTAAGGCTAAACTTTTTGTATGAAAAAGACACTCAATAAAATGTCATTAAAGGTACAAAAAATAACGGATCCTCTATGTATCTATTAAATACAACCTGCCTGGCTATACACTGTCAGATATGACTTGACCACATAAGTATTCCTCTCTATGGTGAATCCTCCAGGATTATTCTGGATGGCAAACTTCTCTTTTGTACCACCATCCTTGGAATTAAGGGTATGGAAAAAAAGGCAGGAAAATAGGATTAAACATTCTCCCCTGATCTAATAAACTGGTGAACTATATTGTTGAGCTGGATATCCCACTCCTATTCAAATCCACTTCTTTCAGCGCCACCGACCCCCCCCCCTCCCCCCCACCACCCATCTCCTGTGTCCTCTACTCTGATTCTAGATATGAAATATGATCTGCTCATTACTTTTTCTTTTCAAAATTTATGCCAACAGCTTTGCTGTCTTAGTTTCCTTCATCACCTCCTTCTCCCATCCCTCATTTCTTCATCTTATTTCCTTTTCTCCTCCACTTCTCATCAGATTATTGTGTTGCATGAAGCTTCCCATTGATTCACCTTCTGGCTACCCATTCTTGACCCACTTGCCAGTCAACATCATCAACATCTAGAAACTGTCCCTCCTGACTTCAAAGCTCCTGACTTCGAAGCTGCTTACTTCATTCCATTTCTTAAAATCCCAATCTCCACTGCTTGTAAATTTCTAAATATAAATACAAGTTTTTATAAATGTAATCTAGATTAATCTATATAAATCTGTATATCTATATAATCCATTGGTGAGATCATACTTAGAATTCGTGTCCAGTTCTGGTCGCCCAGCACAAAAAGGATATTGGAGAAATCGAGAAGATGCAGAGGAGGGTAACCAAAATGATTGGGGAATGGAATGACTGGACTATGAAGAGCGACTAAGTAAATTGGGCACATTCATACTGGAAAATAGAAGATTGAGAGGCGACATGCTTGCTGTCTTTAAGATTCTAAAGGGGCTAGACAATATAGGTCATGACAAGCTGTTTCAACTTGTCCAGAATAGTAAAGCCAGAGGACACGGCATGTGATTGAAGGGGGGTAAATTCGGAACAAATCTACGCAAATACTATATCAGTGAGTGAAGAGTGAACCTTTGGATCAGGTTCCCTAGGGAGAGTGTTAAAGCAGGAAGTGTTGATTCTTTCAAATACAGATTAAATAGTTTTCATTTAGGAAGTAACATTGGATGTAATACATAAGAAATCACATCAAAATCACATGACTTGCATCAAATTGCCCCCTTCAAAATTATGTCCTCTTCAATTAATATCAAAATAAAAATTGCTGTCAAATATACAACAGCAATTTGCAGTTATATAGTGCCTTCATGCAGGGTAGCGTCTCAGGATGCTTAACAGTGGTGGAGCCTGACTCCGAGCCGGGGTAGGGGGGAGGTTGCCGTAAGCACGGGTTCATGCAGGTGATCGTGGTTGAGAGGGAGGAGGGAGCAATAGGAGTAAAGGAGTGTAAGGAAGGGGAGTGGCAGGAGCCACGGTGGAAGGAGAAGGCGATGTGGATGGTCTGGGTGGGGTAGAAGGGACTGGAGAAGGGACTGGACGATGCAGCCAAGCCAAAAGATCATCCAGAACTCTGCAGCCTGTGTCCTCTCCCACAGCAGGCTCCATGATCCTATCATCTCCATCCTCGCTTCCCATCACACAGAGGATACAGTTCAAGATCCTGGTCCTCACTTTCAAAGCCCTCCATGGCCTTGCTCCCCCTCTACCTCTGTGACCACCTAACCCCCTACCAACTTGCCTGCTCCCTCCATTCAGCGGGATCTTGCCTACTTCACGTCCCCCACCATTGGAGGGCGGGCCTTCAGCTACTCTCCTCCACCTTCTGGAGTCCCTCATCCCGCAGTCCCACTGCCTCACCCCACCTTCCTTGCCTCCTTCAAGATCCATCTCAAAACCCTCCACTTCGACCGTGCCTTCGATCACCCTCCTTCCCCCCCCCGCCCTCTACTCACCCCAATCCCAACCCCCAGCTCGGGTCCAAAACACTGATTGTCGAGTGCCTTGGGATGTCCTCCCAATGTGAAAGGAGCTATACAAATGTAATTCTGTTGTTTTTAATCTTTTGAGGCGAAGAACTCTTCGCACAGAGGAGGTGATGGACAGTGGAGAACAGTGTCTTTGGGTTGTTTTTGGCCTCCAGGATGACTTTGGAGTAAAAGTCAGTTTTGGCCTATGAAAGGGAGAGGAAGTGCTCGAGCCACAACTGGTGGTGAATTGTGAGGCCAGATTTCTGCCATCTACATTTGAGAATCCAGGTCTGGATTTTAAGTGAGCAGAGGTGAGGAGCGGGTAGATTTGGAAACAGAGCTGGATTTCAGGGGAGACGGTCATTCAACAGCTTGATGGCTGCATCAAGATCAATGTGGATGGAAGGCCAGAGGGAGAGGAGGTCCTAGGAAGAGAGGGCATTTGTGAGGGACTTCCAGGAGTGGAAAAAGATGGTGGAGGCTTGGAAGAAGGGAGGGGATGTGGGAGGAGGGGGAGATAAGGAAGTGGTCTGAGATGGACTTGTCTATGATGGACAGGTCGGAAATATCAAAGTCATGTGTGATGACAACGGTTGAGGGAATGATCATAGTTGTGGGTCGGCAAATTGTCATGGAGGATGAGGTTTAGGGAGAAGAGGGCAGTGAAATCTGAGGAGGTGGGGAAGAAGCCAAGAGGTTTGGGGGAGCGGTAATCTAGGAGAATTTTGAGAGGTAGAGGAGGGATGGTAGAGTGTGAGGTGCTCAAAGGAGGAGAAACAGCCAAATGAAAATAGGGGGATAGACCAAGGGAGGCTTGGGAGATAAGGGCCACCCCACTGCTGTGTTGGCTTGGGTGGGGAGTGTGGTGAATAGTGTAGCCGGGGGGGAGGCTTTAACAAGGAGTTGGGGTCACTGGGGGCCAGCCAGGTTTGGTCTGGGACAACTAATGCCGGGAGTCATGATGGGCTTGGCGGAGGATGCCCAGGCTGGAGCAGAGGGAGGCAATGTGGGGTCCATGATAAGGAGAAGGTGAGGAGGGCGGTGGGAGAGAAGGACAGTGGCGGAGTGTGGGTGTTAGAAGCAGGAACATTTTCAAAGGGAGTGGCTCGGGTCGGGGCGGGAACCCAAAACGCGCACGCAGAGACCAGGAGCGAACGATCAGCGGGGAAACCTCAGCCCTTGGGCTCTGGGAGACAACTCGGGGGCGGGGGGGGGGGGGGGGAGAGAGGGGATGGCGATCATGGCGTACGTTCCAGAGACAGGGAGGGAAAGTGATAATGGAAAGGAAGGGAAAGGAGAGCGGACAAGACAGCAGAAAGGATAGCATATAGGAATGTAGCAAAATTAACACTATACTTAGCCTGGAGGATTTGAAAATGGCGTTTGGAAATGATGTCCCGTAGCTGGATTCGGCCATTGTTCAGGCGGGAGATTTGGAAATGGCGTCTCCGCACCTGAAGCAACTTTGCCTCGCGGGACGGACACCAACTACCCCTGGTCCATCCGATTTGTTCATCCACCCGTGGCCTCGGTGGTCGCTTGCTCCTATCTGATCTTGGCGGTCGCGTGCTTCCCGTGGTTCAAGCGGGAGATTTGAAGTCCCATGGCCTATCTCACCCCACCGGTGCCCGCCCACGGCCTAGCTCACCCCACCGGTGCCCGCCCACGGCCTAGCTCACCCCACCGGTGCCCGCACACGGCCTAGCTCACCCCACTGGTGTCAGCCCACGGCCTACCTCACTCAACCGGTGCTCGCCCATGGCCTACCTCACCCCATCGGTGCCTGCCCGTGGCCTACCTTGCACATCAGGTGACTTCAATGTCTCTAAAGTTTACATCACCTACAGATTTCTCTTGAAATGTGACCATCAAAATACAGTAGTAGAACCGAGCCCCTGCAAAAATTGACATCTCATATTTAAATTTTATTTGCTTCATGTCTTACAGTTCTGATTTGTATGTTTACATATTTTCAAAGCAACTTTACTAAAAAAAACTTTGTTAAATAAACTAATGTTTAATGGTCATTCTCTACTAATGTTGTCCATCTTACATCTGAGACTAACCTCATTTTTTACTGCTGGAATCTTCTGGTTAAGTTAACTCCAGTTAAGTTAACTGGAGGCTTGTAGGTCGGTGGTTAGAGCACTCGCCTTGCAAGCGAGACACCTGGGTTCAGACAGGGCGAAACCTTGGGCAAGTTTCCTTACTCCACACACCTAATAATAATCCCACCAAAAATAAGACAATAATAAATTGGTCATTTTCAATCCACGACTGTGTGTGGGACACTGCTGTGCGCAATTGGCCGCCGTGTTTTGCCCACAAATATACGGTCAATTCACTTTACAATATATTCTGTAAAGCGCTTTGATACGTCGAGACAAAGTGAAAAGCGCTATATCAAATGCAAGGATTATTATATTATTATATTATTATTTATTTTCTCTTGTAGAAGAATTTTATATCCTTACATTTGAGATAGCGTCTTTTGCATTGGGAGGACATCTCAAAGTACTTTACAGGATATTTTGTAAAGTGACTGTGTTTTGTGGAGAAACGTGGCGACCAATTTTATTGGGGATTGTTGGTCAGGGCACCGCGAGAAATTTCCTTCTCTTTTCAAATTATGCAATGGGCTATTTAACATCCACTTGAACAGGCAGACAGAACCATGGTTTAACTTCTTTGCTGAAGGATGGCACCTCGACTATATGAGTTCAAAGCCCCGATGACTTTCTGATTCAGAGGTGAGAGTTCTATCAATGGAGCCAGGCTGATACCCACTTAATTGAGTCCCAACATTTTTCAACCAGCAACATGAAACTGACAGTCATGCTGTTCCCAGGTTTATTTGGTTCCTTTCTATTGAACAATGGTGTGATATTTACCACCTTCCGATCCTTTGGAACCCTTCCAGTTTGTACAGATTTACAAACGTTTTAAGTCAAAACTTGCACTGTTTGGGTTTTAATTTCCCTCAGCACTCAGTGATAAATCCATTGGACCCTGGTGGCTTGTCCACTCTAAGTTCCATCAATCTTTGTTTCCTGCTTCTTTATTGATATCTATATCTAACAGCTATTTCTTCACATCTATTTCTATCTCCCAGGACCTCCCCATCATCTATTGTAAACACAGATGCACAGAACTTATTTAGCACATCTGCCATTTCCTTGTTCTCCACAATACTTATACCCTATATATCCTTGAGTGGGCCCACATTTTCCCTGTAACAGTAACTTGAGCCATTAAAATTTTACTGAAACCAAACATTGTTGTCACCTTATGTGTACATATCCCTTATCAATTTCCTTAAATGTGGATTATTTATATTAGAATATCTGAATATTACTTCCTTAGCTCAGACATATATTGCTTTTGATTAATAAATAATCATTGCATCAATATTGATATCTATGGCATTTTATAAATATTTGGTCTGTTCTTTCAGCTTTGGCGGGGGTGAAACAAAATATTTTAAAAATAATAATTTAGTCACTATATTCTGTAAAGCGCTTTGAGACGTCATGAAGACTGATAAGGCACTATAATAATAATAATCCCTGCTGATACAGCGATTTTGATATAGCGCTTTTCACATCTTCTGGACGTCTCAAAGCACTTCACAGAATATATTGTAAAGTGAATTGACTGAATATTTGTGGACAAAACGCACCAGCCAATTGTGCACAGCAGTGTCCCACAGTCGTGGATTGAAGTGACTAATTTATTGTTTTTTTTCTTGAAGGATTATTATCAGGCATGTGGAGTAAGGAAACTTGCCCAAGGTTTCCTCCTGCCGGAAATGAACCCAGTTCTCTCTCACGTGCGAGGTGAGTGCTCTAACCACTGAGCTACAGGACTCCACTACATCAAATGCCAGTATTATTATTATAAGATGGGGTATTTACTGAAGCACTGTTCCTTTAAATAGGGATCTCTTTTTTTCTTTGTGTCAACCTGACTTATTACATTGTAACAAAAAGCAGTAATTCATTTTATTCTAGTTTAATTTAAATGGGGAAAGTAGATTACACAATAAGGTGACATGAAATAAAGAGTTACATCTGTGTTGAGGCCTGACGGTTTTATGAAATGAAGAAAGTGAGTTCAGCTTCAGAAACAGTAAATCATCTGTAGGTTCGATTTAAACATACATTTAATTTGTAAGCCCCCAAAAATGTGTCTATGTGCCTCTTCAGATTGATTCTCCCGATGGTGACTCCGCAGTATCAGCTTGGACATAAGATGGGATATGATAAAAAAGAATAATAAGAGAAAGAGGAAAAAGCATGTATAAGAGCCAAACCAAAGACATTATGGCTATTAGTTATGGCTTCCTTTATGGCTATTACTTTGATTTGTCATCATAATTAACATGACAGATATAAATACACAGAGAATACATTTCCAGTTTGGGTTTTGACTTTATGTACTCTCATCATAGGTCTTAGACAGGCCAAATAAAGTGCAAAGCTCTTTGTACTCTCAGAAAAGTACCTATTAAAAATGTTGATTTTTTTTTAAATGACCAACACTCACCATTTCTTTATTATAATAATAATCCTTGTATTTGCTATAGCGCTTTTCACGTCTTCTAGACATACAACAACAAAATTATATTTGTATAGCCCCTTTCACGTCTGGAGGATATCCCAAGGCGCTGGACAGACAGAGATTACGGACCTGAGCTGAGGGTCGGAGTGGGGGAGGGCAGGGGGGAAGTAATACGATTGAAAGCATGGTCGAAGGGGCGGGTCTTGAAGTGGGTCTTGAAGGTGGCGAGGGAGGGGGCGAGATGGAGGGACTACAGGATGGAGCTCCTGAGTGTAAGTGCAGAGTGGTGGAAGGCCGCTCGCTGATAGTGGGGCGAGCAAGGCGGGGGACGTAAAGCAGGCTTGGAGCCCGCTGAGCGGAGAGAGCGAACAGGGTGATAAGGGGTTAGGAGGTTGGAAAGGTAATGGGGAGCATGACCATGGAGGGCTTTGTAGGTGAGGACCAGGATCTTGAACTGTATCCTCTGTGTGATGGGAAGCCAGTGGAGTTGAGCAAGAATGGGCGTGATAGGCTCACGGAGCCTGGTGCGGGAGAGAACACGGGCTGCAGAGTTCTGGATGACCTGCAGTCTATGGAGGGAGGAGTTGGGGAGGCCAACAAGCAGTGAATTTGCCTCAATGTAATGAAGGCGTGTACGAGAGTTTCGGCGGCCTGTGGTGTGAGACAGTGTCTGAGCCGGGCGATGTTGCGGAGGTGGGGGAAGGCAGAGCGGTCATGGCGCAGATGTGGGGTAGTAAGGAAAGTTGAGGGTCAAACAAGACCCCAAGGTTCCGGACTGGTTTAGCAAGGTGAAGTGTGCAACCATGATGTTGTCAGCACCTGAGGTGAGGAGGTGCCGACTGGAGCCAATCAGGAGAGTCTCGGTCTTGTTGACGTTCAACTGAAGAAAGTTATCTCTCATCCAGGATTTGATGTCTGACAGACTTTCTGTCAGGACAGCAGTGGTCCTGGAGTCAAGAGTGGAGGCAGAGAGGTACAGTTGGGTGTCATCTGCAAACATGTGGAAGTTGACTCCATGTCTGCGGATGACGTCACCAAGAGGGAGCATATAGATGTTGAAGAGGAGGGGACCAAGGACAGAGTCCTGAGGAATGCCACACGAAACGCTCCAGGGGCTAGAGGAGAAGCCGTGTAAAGTGAATTGACTGTATATATGTGGGCTAAACGTGGCAGCCAATTTCGCACAGCACAGTTGCGGATTATTAATATTATTGTTTTTTTGAAGGATTATTATCCCCGGAAATGCGGTCTGCCAATCGACTCACAACCAGGTTCCTACTTACTGCTTGTTTAGTGTGATTACCAATCATACACAATCCTGGGGAATGGGCAAAGAGATGTCAGGAGACTTACACATAGTGATAGGATTCTGCATGTCAGGCACTTGATTGCACCCCCCCAAAAGGCACCCATTAAGACTGGTTTGAGACTTGATGGAAAGCATTTTATAAACTGCAATTGATCAGGTATCTGATACACATTTCCATGTTCGTTTTTAATATCAAATAACTCAGGCTGTAAATGGCTTCTTAATGATATTGGAAAGCATAAATCTTTTTAAAGGCTTTAAAATATTTTTTGGTGACTTCAATGTGCACCACCAACTCATAACTGGTGTGTGAAGGGTTTTTGACCTGATTCCAGACCTGATAAACGAAATGTAACGTTGTAAATTGTGTTCAAATAAAAATATGTTGATTATTGCAATTTTCACTCGATTTTCTCAAACCATTGATTTTGATATTTTAAAAGCCGATTTTGTTTTGTATCAATTTAATGAGGAAACTGCATCAAATCAACACTAATTGTGCAATATAAATGCTGCATCGGTATTTCACATTCATATAGCCCTTTGTACTTTTTCTGAATAGGCATGGTTTTCCCAATTTGGTAACCACAAACCACAAAGGAAGTGCTAAACTGAGAATATGATTTTATCACCAGAAATTAGTACTTCAGTTTCTGGTAGCTGGAAATCACCCAGAATAATACATACTAAAACTTACATTTATAATGTGTCCCACAAGATTGACTATGATAACTTAATCAATGGGTTTTACCATCTTGCTAATGAATTATCAAATTATTTTGATGCATTTTTCTATCAAAATACTATATGCTGTGTGCCGTCAACCAGTAGAGAATTAACAGTTCTGGACGGAAAGCAAGGAGATAATCTTGAACTTGGGTCACAAACACAAATTAGAATCAATTACTTCAAATGTACTTCATACATTTTTAGTTTTTTTTCACTTTTCTGTGGTTTATGTTTGGAAATGTCCCTCCAGTCCAGTTTCTGCCCTGGTCACAGTACAGAAACAGCACTCGTGAAAGTCACAAACAATGTCCTTTCTATCTGTGACCAGGGTTCTCTCTGCCTCCTCGTCGCCTAGACCTTCCCGCCGCATTTGGCGCAGTCAATCATGCCATCCTCCTCCACTGCCTCTCCTCCATCATTCACCTCAGTGGGACTGCGCTTGTTTAGTTTGGGTCCTATTTTACAAAACGCCAGCCCTAATTTTCCGCAAATGTTTTTTCTTCTCACCACCGCCAGTCACTCTTGAAATACATGCTGGGTGCAGGAACACAGCCCCCCTCCCCCCTGCCCTCCCCTTCTATTTTCTATTGTGCAAACTTAATATTGTTTCGCCACAGAATAATAATCCTTTCATTTGATTTAGTACCTTATCACGTCTTCAAGACATCTCAAAGCGCTTCACAGAATATACTGTAAAGTGAATTGACTGTATGTATGGTGGGTAAAATTAGCCAATTGCGCACGGCAGTGCCCCACAAATAGTTGTGGATTGAGTGACCAAATTATAATAATAATAATCCTTGCATTTGATATAGCACCTTATCATGTCTTCGAGTCGTCTCAAAGCGCTTCACAGAATATACTGTAAAGTTAATGACTATTTTGTGGGTGAAATTATTATTTTTTCAAGCGATTATAACTCCTGGAAAATGCACAGTCATCCATTTAACAATATATTCTGTGGAGGAGCTTTGAGACAAATCAGTGAAGGATTATTATTATTATCATCAAAAATATCTTTTTAAAAAGTCAATTTTTCAGCTTTCTCTTGTGATTCAACAACTTGCACTTACAAAGCGCCCTCCACGCAGGGTAGCGTCAAGGAGCTTGAGAAGCAACTCGTGAAGCAAAGCCCTTAAGTAATTTAGTCTTTCAATGAATTTCCATTAGCAGTGAAGAAATCAGGTGGTCTTGATGCTCAGCCCGCTGCTTTGGCAAAAGGTCAAAGTGAACCAAGGCATTTTTTTTTCCTGCTTTCATAATAATCCCTCAAGAAAAAACTCCCAATAATTTGCTCACTCAATCCACGACTGTTTGAGGGACGCTGCTGTGCGCAATCGGCTGCCGCGTTTCGCCCACAAAAATGCAGTCAATTCACTTTACAGTCTATTCTGTGAAGCGCTTGGAAATGTGAAAAAGCGCAATATCGAATTCAAGAATTACTATTATTGTTATTATTATTATCCGCCAGTCTCAAGAATGCAACGACCGCAGCGCCCAAATCGTGGAATCGTACAGCACAGAAAGAGGCCATTCGGCCCATCGTGTCAATCCCACCCTCCCTCGCCCCATAGCCCTGCAAACTTGTTCCTCCCCAAATAAATTATCTATTTCTCTCTTAAAAGCTTCCACCAGCCTCTGGTTCTTTTAGCAACTATTTTAAATGGGTTACCGACCCCCTCCTCCAGCCAGTGAACCATCCAGGAGTCCTGTAGCTCAGTGGTTAGAGCACTCGCTTTGCAAGCGAGAGACCTGAGTTCAATTCCAGGCAGAGGGCGAAACCTTGGGCAAGTTTCCTTACTCCACACACCTAATAATAATCCCTCCAAAACCAAAAACAATAATAAATTGGTCATTTTCAATCTACGACTGTTTGTGGGACATTGCTGTGCGCAATTGGCTGCCGCGTTCGCCCACAAATATACAGTCAATTCACTTTACAGTGTGTTCTGTGAAGCGCTTTGAGACGTCGAGAAGACGTGAAAAAGCGCTATATCAAATGCAAGGATTATTATTATTATTATTATCCAAACTTCTCAATGGTTCACCCGCCCTTTCTGTCTCTGGGTGGGTCAGCGGCCGGTGACGTCGCTCGCTGCCCGGAGACCGCCGGGTGATTGACAGCAACTGGAACGGCCCCGTCGTCACGAAGCGGTGACGGAGTGGGAGAGTGCGCCTGCGTGACGGAGACTGCTGCCGGCGGCGGTGGCGGAGGAGGAGGATGATGGGAGATTCCGCCTGGGCTTGGGGAGGAGGGCGACAGAGTGCGCCTGCGTGGCTGAGTCCGTGGGTGGCGGGGCGGGGCGGGGGGAGAGCGCGGAAGTGCGCCTGCGCGGGGTGGGGGTGGTGGTGGAGGAGGGCGGGAAGAGCGGAGGAGGCGTGGTGTCGGGGCTCGGCGTCTCGTTGCTTTGCGCTGGTTTCTGTGAAGCCGCAACGTTTTGACTTGAGATTTACAACTGAAAATGGTCTGACCGTGAGGGAGAGACGAGCCAACGAGAGAGAGAGAGAGCGCGCGAGCGAGCGAGTCAGCGAGCGACGGTTACGGCGTTGTTCAAAGCTGTCCGCGTGCACCTGACTGGGGCGGACGGCTCGAGCGCAGGTATTTATTTACATCTTATTTCTGGTCGATATAAATACATCTTATCTGTAAATTCACAATTAACAGCGAGGCGCAGGCAGTTTCCTCCTCTCTCCCCCCCCCCGTCCCCCCGGTGTGGGGCGCTCGGGCCGACTCTTTATTTCGACTCGAAAAAAGATTAGATTTATTTAAATTTTTTTAAAAAAAATTAAATGAAAAGACTCGGATTTGGTTGAATTTTTTTAAAAATCCTCTCACCCCCACACCACACCCGCCCCCCCCCCCAAAAAAATATATATATAACACTTCACTTCCCTGTCGTGGGGCGAAAAGGCGATGTTTCACCCGCGGGCTGCAATTCGAGGTTAATTATGTGTGAGGAAGGATTTGGGTGTCTTGACAGGGGATGAGGAGAGGAGGAGGAGGGGGAGAAGCCAAGGTGATTGCTGGTGTGTGGAGGGACTGACTGACTGACTGACTGACTGGCTCCGGGCTGTGCTGAACCGAACCTGGTTGACGTTGAGCTGTTCTGGTGAACGATATTTTTTGTGAAGTTAGGGATTTTTCTCTTTTTTTTCTCTCTCTGTGTGTGTGTGTGTGTGTGTCTTTCTCTCTCTCTCTCCTCGCTGTGTCTTTCTCTCTGTGTGTGTGTGTCTTTCTCTCTCTCTCTGTCCTTCTCTGTGTGTGTGTGTGTCTTTCTCTGTGTGTGTGTGTGTGTCTTTCTCTGTGTGTGTGTGTGTCTTTCTCTGTGTGTGTGTGTCTTTCTCTGTGTGTGTGTGTCTTTCTCTGTGTGTGTGTGTGTGTCTTTCTCTGTGTGTGTGTGTGTCTTTCTCTGTGTGTGTTTGTGTCTTTCTGTGTGTGTGTGTCTTTCTCTGTGTGTGTGTGTCTTTCTCTGTGTGTGTGTGTGTGTGTGTGTCTTTCTCTGTGTGTGTGTGTCTTTCTCTGTGTGTGTGTGTCTTTCTCTGTGTGTGTGTGTCTTTCTCTGTGTGTGTGTGTCTTTCTCTGTGTGTGTGTATCTTTCTCTGTGTGTGTCTGTCTTTCTGTGTGTGTGTGTGTCTGTCTCTCTCTGTCTGTCTCTCTCTGTCTTTCTCTCTCTCTGTCTTTCTCTCTCTCTCTCTTTCTTTCTTTCTTTCTGTGTGTGTCTTTCTCTCTCTGTGTCTCTGTCTCTCTCTCTCTTTCTGTGTGTCTTTCTCTCTCTCTCTCTCTCTCTCTAAGTCGAGAGCGAAAAGCCCCATTTTTCACACGCCCTCCATGGGCTGATCTCGCCTGGTCGTTTTCGAAACCTCGAGAGGTTGGTGAGTTGGTCAGGTTAGTTAGTTAGTTAGTTAGTTAGTCTCTCGAGGGAGGAGACGGAACCAGCCAGGATCGAGGGCAAATGCGGATGAAGGAAAACCGAGATTTAAACGGACTGATCTCAAATTTACAGTCTTCTCGAGTTGCTTTGTAATCTGGTATTGTGTTGTGCGATACCAACACAGTGTATGTGCAACACAGCGAGTCCCCGGTATTGAAAAAGGTCTATTCTTAATACTGGGACTCGATCCCAAATTACTGTTTGTTGAACATTAATTTCATGCCCAATTTGTAATCAATAAATGGGACCTACCTGAAATTTACTGGGGTCTGTAGGGCACACAAGCTAATTAGCTATTGTTTGAACGTTGTTTGCAATTAGTTTATGCGTATCTTTGTTGTATTCATCTTTCTGGAGAATTGCTCACACTGTGCCTGTATTTTACAAAAGATAAATATGAAAGTTGTGCTTTCAAGGAGGGGCAGGTGGGGTGGGGGAGAGTATAAAAGGACAAAGTATATAAGGCCCATCTCGAGTCGTACGTTTTTGACTGCACTTTCAAGTATCTTTCCCCTCCCCACCCCCAGCAGTGTCGAGCACTTTAAGACATCCTCCTAACGTGAAAAGTGCTGCATACATGTAAATTGAATTGTGTACATTAAAGTGAGATTTATTTCTGCCTGCAAATGCTTCTTCCCAGCAAATGCCTCTTCTCACTGTTGAGACTTAATTGGTCAAACCCTCTCTTGTCGGATGCTGAATGACAAACCAGTACCTATCCTGGGTGGGAGGGAGGTAGTTGAAGCAAGGTCTCTTTGGGGATGAGCTGGCTCCAAATTGACATCTTGGCAACAGAATACTGGAATCAAGTTGAGCCTGACAATCTTGGTACTCCACTTCCTGAGCCAATTTGGGCTGCAGTCACCCAAGGCACCAACGAATCTGGATTGTTTTGCAAAATAACGGATATAATGGACTTGGAGGGGCAGGGATTCTTCCAAACCAGCTCTTGTTTGCCCTGCAACTCAAGAGCTTACCAGGTAGAGTGGTTACATTTCAACAGTACCACACATGCACCCTCTGGGGTCTTCAAAGCATTGGCTCTTGCAAATCCCTACTGCTTTGTAGAATTAGATAAGCAGGATGTGGCGCGCTGGGGAGAGAGTGTGCACTCCATTCCAGACAAAGCTGTAGGTGGGGTGCATATGTGGAACTTTCTGGTTTGGATACTTCTAAGCAGGTGATGGGTTTCCTTGTGTGTCACTCGGCTGGCCAAAGGGAATAGTGCAAATTGCTCTGTTGCAAAGTTCAATTTTAAGGTTGGTTAAATCTCACATTAATCCATATCATGGCTATGTATCCTACTTAATTAAAATATGTTAGTATTCTAAGAGAGAATCTCATGTTTGGAAATAGAATGAGCTAAATATATTAATAAATTGTAAAAGTGCTATGACTGTACTTTACAATTCTGCCATTGCTAATTCCCTTCCCCTCCCTGAAGATTTTGAGTCTTCTATTGGTGTTAGGTTTCAGGCTGTCATTCCTCGACACTTTCCCGCAATGGCCATTGTTCATGTGCAAATCTCCACTGTGAGTGTCGGCAACCTCTAGATTGTGAGGCAACACAGTAGAATCTGAGCTTGTCTCCCATACCCACCCCTTCATCCACACAGGTGATTCAAGTCTCTAAATATGTTTATGTATAAAAACAGACAAAACACGACACATGTTACTGTTCTCCCTGGCCTCGCATAGACTCCCAAGTGTTTCAGGTAAATGATTTTTATTCTGTATATTTTAATCACTACTGGCCTTGACAGAGAGAGAGAGAGAGCGTGAGAGGTATGTGCTCAGTGATGCTCACCCGCTGGTTGCAATCACCACTCCCTTGTGATTTGTCCTCACGGGTGGAGTCCTGCAGTCTAGTGGTTAGCGCACTCACCTCGCAAGTGAGAGGACCTGGATTTAATTCCCGGGCAGGGCAAAGCCATAGGCAAGTTTTGTTACTCCATATACCTCTGTTTACCTAGCAGTAAGTAGGAACCTGTTGTTAGTCGATTGGCGGATCGCTTTCTGGGCGTAATAATCCCTCAAAAACAATCCATGATTGTTTGTGGAACATTGCTTTGCGCAATTGGCTACCGCGTTTCGCCCACAAAGTATTCAATTCAATTTACAGTATATTCTATGAAGCGCCTTGAGACGTCTCAATGACGTGATAAGACACTATATCAAATGCAAGGATTATTATTATTCTCTCCCAAAGGGGATTTCAGGACTCCATTTGGAAGAAGGAACCCTGGAAGAAAACCTATACCCCCATCCTCTTTCCCCCAATGTATCAAATGCAATGGTGTTTATTCTAATTGAAGCATATTCTGGTGGACATCTGCAAACTCAACACCTGTGACCTTCTGTTCTGTGGCATTGTAGTCTAGGGCTTTACCTATGGCTAATTCATTGGGAAAGCTAAATACTTTACATTTAATGTAATAAATTGCATGTGTTGTACATATTCTGCTTAGATATAGGCTTATAGGTCATTGATGTAGTTAGTAAAACGGGATTTTTCCAAGGATTAAAATCATATTTGAATAACATATCTTCAGATTTTCTTTGTCAACGTTTTCAACACAAATCTGTATTTAGCTTTATTCTCTTCATGGGGGTGGGGAGGGAAGGAGAAGAGGTTAAAAAAAAATCATTTTATATAAAATGTCTCAGTCAAGAGTAAAATGTAGATTGCTGTTTTGTTTTTATATATTTTTCAGCTACAAATTCTCAATTCCTAAAACAAATTGTCATGTTTTGCCTGCTTGTGTCTCCCGCCTTGCCTGCCCCGCCATTGGCAATTAGGTCTTCATGAACTCCATCTTGAAATCCCTCCACCTCTCCCATTCCTCCTCCTTTGACCTTATTCTTTGACCGCCCCTTCAACCTCCTCTCTCTCTCCCCCCCCCCCCCCCCCAACCCCCTTCTGATTGCAACTCCTAGCTCAGGTGCAAACCCTTAAATAACCAGCAACTTGGGATGTCCTTTCAACTTGAAAGGCGCTATATAAATGTAATTTTTGTTGTAATGAAACCCAAAATTTGCTACAAATATTGACAGAAATTATGTATGTCACTTTGTGGTATTTTACTATTTTTTGAATGATCTGTTAGTAGGATACACTAAATACATGAAGCTCGTAAAATAATAAATTATTTTAAGGCATTTGAAGTCTGGTCAAAGGGTATATTTTTGGCTTGGCTTTGTGATGCCCTTTCATTTCTGCTGTACGCTCCTGGCCTGGCTTGATTGTGGTGACTGCAGGAGGATTGTACAAATGCACTAAGTATTAAAGATATTGTTCGCCACAACAGCTCACCATCAACAAGCTCAGCAGAGGGTTGATGAACAGATTTCATAAAGAGTAGCAAAAATAAATGGTTCGGTGACCAAGCTGCCTGTGCATGTCACATAATAATAAAGAGCACCAAATTGCAACATTCATGTATGAGGCAGCCAATTTGCGCAAGGCCTGTCCCACAGCGATGAAGTGAATGACTTTTTTAATTTGGGAGAATATTGGGCAGAAGACAGGAAGAAACTACCTTCTTTGTTTGAAAAGTATCATGAGATCTTCACCATCCACCTGAATGGGAAAGCAAGACCTTGGTTTAATGTCTCATCTGAAGGGCTGTACCTTTGACAATGCAGTTCTCTTATTCTGCATTTGATT